TTTGGGTTTCCATATGAATCATAGGAGTGTTTTTCCAAGTTTTTTGATGAATTTCACTGGAATTTTGATGAGAACTGCATCGAATCTGCAGATAACTTTCAGCAATATGGTTGTTTTAACAAAGTATTATTAATTCTGCCAATACACAAAAATGGGAGACCCTCCATGTTCTAGTAGCTTCAATTTCCTTCCTTAATGTTCTGTAATTTCCACTGTAGAGGCGTTAGGGAGGGAAAATAGAGAAATAGAAGGAGAGAACAGAAGCAAGGCTAGAGGACAAAGGAGGATCATGCAAACTGGGAAACTGGGACAGAAGACAGAAGGGAAAGAGAGAAGGAAGAAATAAAAATAATAAAACAGAACAACAACACAAAAACTAGAAACCATTTTCACACTCATGTGAAAACAAGAACAAGCAGTAAAGAAAAAACATACCAAACCCCCAAAACAAAAATACTGCAAAACAAGAGCAGAGAGATAAAAAAAAGGAAAAAGGGGGGGGGAGTCCACTTCAAGGTATGTCTCTGATCCATGTGTAATTCCAGCCAGCCAGCAGTAGCTTTATGGCAAAGTGGATAATCCCAGTGAGCCTGTACCTTTATTTCCACTGAAGTTCAGGCTGGTTTCTGCTTGTGAGGCTGGACCCAGACCTATTCGGCCTACAGCAGTCCATATACATCCTGTGGGCTTGAATTTGGCTGGGAGCCCCTGGATGGAGCCAGCAGTAGCTCTGAGTTCTGAGCTTAGCTGGCACCTCTCCAAGATGGCTCCTGACCGGTCGCCCTCTCCTGCAGGACCTCTGAATCCGAACAACTCACCAGCCACTGCAGTCTCCCGCATCCACTGCTCTGTTCCACTGGTGCATTTCTTTGTGGAGGTCTCTGGGGTCGCTAGTAGTCATCGAGGGAGGAAGATCTGGAGTTCAGCCCTTGTCTGGGCATTCAGTGACCCTGTCTCAAATTTAAAAAGGTTTGTGGATTTAGCTCAGTGTAAAGGCCCTCACTAAGATCCTTCTCTCACTGGAAAATGTCCTCTACTGTTCCAGTAACCTAGAAAAAGAATAGGAAAGTAATACTATAAGGCTAAGAAAAAAGAGAAAAAATAGGTATTAATTATAATATTTATATACAAGAAAGAAAGGAGAATAAAGGGGAGATTTAAGAAAATATGAAAATAGAAGGAAAGAAAGAAGAACTGGGCGTATGATTGAAAACAAGGAAGTAATAGAGAGATTAAACCCCATAATGAATTAATAGAAACAATTAGAAAAGGTTATAAAACAACTCTTGTTGTAAGAGAATAAATAAGGAAAAACATTAGAAGCAAAGCAGTAATTGTGCGCACTTATGTATACACGAGTATCCTCACCCCATGCACATACAAGAAGGAAACCAAAGCATAAATACTTGGTCCCTCCCTAGTCCTCCTTGTCGAGTATTTATGATGGGGAAAATTATTCTCCTGAGACTTGTGTTGGTTGACATTGTCTGATTAAAGGAGGATGTGAGAATCTTTCTCCCCTCAATCTTTTAACTGCAGAATTCACATTCTGTGCCTCTGTCCAAGTAGGAGAAGCGGTGAGGTCAGTGCCGAGCTATGGCCTTCTGGTAGCAAATGAGCACTTGGACAGGTCTGCCACTGGCCGGACTGGCCCACACCCGCCACGCAGTCTCCTGGGCAGCTGGGACTGTGGTGCTGGGAACACGCAGGCAGCACACCAAGTCCCTCCTTCACTTAGGCCCTGGGCACGCTAGGGCTGTGGGCCAAAGCTCTGCTCTGGGATGCTTGGTTGCCAGTCGTGCCCAATGCCCAGTTTGCCCTGCATGCCTCCCAGCAGAGCCAGGGGTTGCTAGCTGGGCTGTTGTTGGGATTAGCAGCCTTGGGCACTAGCCTTCCTTCTGGCGGTCCCTGCTTTGGGGCTGCAGACTAAGACCCTCTTCAAGGCAAAATCTCAGGCCCTTGAGCTCTTTTCCTGCCACAGCTTTCAAACTGTGTTTCCCAGGTCCTGTCCTTTCCCATTCTGGTGCTGCCCTCTGCAGGCCTGATTATGTTCACTGCGGCTAGTAGTGCCATCCTCCGTCCCCCGCAGCTGAGACTTGCCCAGCTGGTGTGTAGTTCCTTCTCCTGTGAGCCTGGTACTGGAGGGTCTCCCCAACCCCATACATTTAGCTTTTCTGTGTCACAGTTGCCATTCTCCAGGGCTCAAGCTAACCAGTAAGGCAGGTGTCTGCATGGAGCAAATGTCAGTGTGTTCTTGTTGCTTTAGACTTGTGAGTGCTGGTCGCCTCTAGTATGCGATCTTCCACAAATCTCAGGCATTTCTTCCTCTATACTATTTGGCTTTACAAGGCATCAAATCCCAGGTTTAGTACAGCTTACAGCAAAGAGCTTAGCCTTGTGGAAAACCCGAGGGAACTCATATTTCTAAGTAAGTGAGTGTGGGCAAGTTGCTCTTTGGAAATCAGTTCTATCACCTGCAAAGTGAGAAGGGAGATATACCTTGTATGGTGCTTGGAGGTAGAAATGAGGTAATCCGTTTAGAGTGTTAATGATTTACAATCATTCTTTCCTCATCGCTAGCCTGAAAAATCATATGTAGACTTTTCCAGTCATTTCTACATTTCCTGGGATAGGGATTTCTCCAAGGATGAAGGTTTATTTCTCTTGCGTATCGTATCTATGGTATTTTATAAAGCTGTGTGTCTACGTATTTTGTAAAGATCACGCTATAGGTTTTTTTCCCAGGCAGTGAAGGGAGGTCTGTTGAGCTCTGGTGATTCAGCTGAATTGAGTGTGAAACTACCTGTCCTCCCAAAAAGAATGGTTTGCAGCTACACTGATTAGCCCACAACATCACATAGGGAGTAAAATACTTACGTGTAAGAGAAATGTGTTCCACGAAGCCCTCGTTCTCCTGCATCACTAAGTTAGGGCCGCAGCAGACAGCGGGTTTGGTGGCTTTCCCTCGATTAGTTCGTGCACGGTAGGTGCCCAAGTGACCCTTTCAGTGAGCAAATTGCATTTTGACCCAACAGTGACGGTGTCATGTGCACTAAATTTGCTATTAGGGCTTACACAGGAAGTAGAAAAGCCTGTTATGGTTATGAATCAAATAGCACCTTAATGAACCCACTGGGAATGACTGTGGAGTCCGGTGGTGCAGTCCATACTTACAGATGAGCTCCTGGTATTTGGATTGGTGAAAGGCACCTGAATAATCTGGAGGACATGCAGAGCTGTGAAGAGAAGCAAGGTCAGGTGAAATGAAGCAGCTCCTGGGCTTGGCTCCCTGGGGAAGTCCTGCGCCTTCCACTCTGGACAAAATGCTCAGCCTCTTTGTGTCTAAATTTCTGCATCAGCACAGCTGGAGCTTGTCTGTGCTTAGCACAGGGTAAGTGGGCAGTGGTACAAACAGAACACTGGATCTAAAATGTGTTGAAGGAATAGACCTTAAACCACAGTGTCAATGAAACCTAACCCTAACCTAACCATAACCCTAAACCTAAACTGGGCTTGATGTTTAGATCTTTCTGCCTCAGCCTTCCAGATTGCTAGTATTACAGGTGTGTACCACCATTCTTGGTTAGAGGGAAAAAAATTAGAGAGCAGTATCAAATAACGGAATCTGAGACTTTGGTCCTGTGTGTTGGGATATGTATAGATTGGAGAGCAAATCTCCTTGCACATAACAGGAATAAAAATACCTGAGCAATTTCCTTTTGTATAAGGTGGGGAGATAGTCTTGCTGGGAAAGTTAAAGGGAATGATAGTGTAAGTATCACAAATTGCATTCAACTCATTACCAAGGTCAATTTAGCAAGTTTCTCTACAAGTGCAAGTCAAAGAGAGTGCTCCAGAGCCCAAAGATACAGGAGCAGAGGAAGGTCCAGTAATTTTCTTTTCCCAGTTCTTTGAGAACTGATGAATATAAGATCTCCAGCACATTCCGGGATGACAGTGAAGTACTTAACAATGAGGCAACATTCTGAAGAAGTATTAAGATTTTCAAATATTCCTGCATGATCTTACTGAAAAGCCAAAGTTATTTCAAGATCTGTAGAACAAGCATAAGGAACTTGGAATTTGCCTACACAGGACAGGCAAAGTGAAAAGTTCAACAGTTACCCAGAAAATAAATCCTAGGAAAGTTGGCTGGATTGTTCAAAAGAGCACTTGTCTTCTCCTGTCCTCTCCATGTACCCCACCACCTAACTCCCACTTTTCCATCATTGTATCCTTTGTCTGCTTTACGTGTATGCATTTACCTCAACCCGTCATTTCACTGCATAGACATGGAGCTTGGCTACATATGTACATATAAAACACATGTAGATCTTCCAAGAGCATTAGATGGGTGAAGGACACTGATCCAAATTCTCTTTTCCTTTACCATGCGTTCACCTCCAGCCAAAGGCAGTGTAAATGGTGCATTAGTAATCTTCAAGTGAGTTAGCTTGGAGTCTTTATATCTCAAATCCAGCCCTTCCTCTCAGGGGTCTGAATTATTTCAAAGACTTTCTAGAGCTGACTATAAACCTTTCTAGGTACACAGCATATTCCATTTATCCTGAGACCATATGCACAATCTAGATAATTATACCCTCATTTATTTCCTTACATATCAAACTCATCCTTGAATTTGAACAACACCTGCCTCTTCTTTTCTTGGTTTCTGGATCAGTTGAGAGTATATGTGAGCAAGACTGTGTACTGGGAACTGATCTGACTATAGACAGACAGTGTGGAGAGTTGTTCTGGGGAGAGGAGATTTGAAGAGAAAGAGAATAGCTCTTCCTTTCAGCGGGCTTACATTCATTTATACTCACCTATGATCTTGTTTCTAAGCAGTAGGCCGAGGAGAGTATGCAAATGGATGTGATGACCAGGGGCTCAATGGAAATATTTAAATATTAATAAATGAGTTTCACTTTTGTTTGCAAGTGACATACAGTAGGTACACTCAGAAGGACTAAATAAAACAACCACAGTTGTTGTTTTTTTTAAATCAACCCATTTATTGGTTCCTTCCAGAGAGCTAATTCCAAGGAGTCCGTTTATCCATGGCTACACACAATGACGGAATGGATTACATACTTGTTAAATTTCTAAAAATCAGACATGGGATTTAAGAAGTGATGTGCAGGGCTTCTACCGATTATCGACCGAGACTTTGGAGGTCTTGGAATGAAAGGGCGGTATACAGTGTCAAGGGAGAAGGATAATAAGAGAGGAGCACTCCCAAAAATCAGAATACACTGGGCTCTAGCTGTAGACATGGGTTTAAAGGGATTTGCCTTCCTGAAACCACTGAGGCCATGATAAGGGTTATGTCACTGTCTAAAACCACGTCTTAGCCACACTAACGCAGCTAAGTAGTAAGGCAAGCCAAAAAGGATTCTCACTGAATTTGAAGGACATTGTGTTTCTTTTCCCAAAATGCATATAGAGTCCTAGTTGTGTTTTACTCTGGTTGTCACTAAGTTTGCTTGTGTTACCTGAATCCACACCTATTCTCTCAATGGCATTTGTTGGAAGAATGAATAGAGAGATTGCAAGGGCACTTGACTTTTACCGCAGAAAGATTATGTGTACACATACATGAGGAAACTGGACATAACTCTTGGAAAACGTCAAATGCTGAATTTCGGAGTATTTAAAGGGCATGAATATTGCCATCCAGCCACTGAAAAACAAGTGGGAGCTCCTTACTCCACACTGGCCAGTGTGCTTGACCCCAGGGGCTTGGGCATGGGCTGGCTTGCTCCGCAGTGTGGTGAAGGCAGTGGAGACCCGGCAGGAAACACAGTCACACTTTGTAGGAATGTTCACTGAGAGCTGCGGTGTTTTCACTGACCGCTTCGCCCACAAACACTTCTCTCGCACCTGCGTTCTGTGGTTTGGAGAAGGCCAGGAGTCTCGCGGTTCCCGTCATGCTCACGTGCCACGGGCAGTAGGCGCCTGTGACATCGGGGCCTTGACTGCTCACTGTGAGGGTGACACTGCCTGAACAGCGATGATTCTGTGCGAGCTGCTCATGACAAATGCCCCGGCGTGGGTGCTGACCAGGCTTCTTCAGTATTGGAAGCACTTTTCTGAATTTCTTGGGGTTAAAATCATTTTCGGCAGGTCAACTGTCTCGTTGGGGTGTGTGGACAAGTTGTTTGTTTTCTGTATGTTTTCCACACACCTTCCTTGCAGTGTCTTCACATGAAATCGTCTCAGAAGCGTCACGAGGACGACTTTCATCATCACCATGGCAATGTACTTCCCTGCGCAGCTGCGGGGCCCAAAGCCGAACGGCTGGAAGTACCTGTAAGGAACCTGTGAAAATGATGAGACCGTTACCACCCTGGGAAGGGCCACAGTTTTGCAGTACGGGTTCTGACTCACTCTGAAGACACTGGTCAGTCACAAGGTTTAGTTTTGGGGTCTCGGGCTGTTTCCTCACTGAGATGAAGGAGTGAGACGAAATCAGCCCTTTTCTCATCCAGAGACTTACCTCTGGCGATACAGACCCAAGCTCAGAGGCTCCCCTTTTCCCTTTCCTGTAAGTGAGCTGCAGTAAAGGGAAGCAAATCAGGTTATTATAGGCAGTGCTAGGAAACCAAGCCAGCTCTGTGCGCCAGCCGGCTTTGTGACTGCTTTGAAGTCATCACGGCAAAGTTTGGCTTCAGGTGCTGGACAAATACAGGCAACGGATGTGCGCTCTCGGCCTGTCCGTGCCAAGCATGTGCTTTTAGGTATGCTGCGCGTTAATGAGGATCCACCTTTTCGTCGTGTTCACACAGCCCCTGGCATATAGTATTGCTCATACACTTCTGTTGGTCAGCTGCCTGATTTGCATGGCATTATCTGGATTGCCTGTGTAGAAGCAGGCTAAATTAGCATAGTAGATTAACATTGTGTTTCTAGATTTATAATGAGGTGAAGAGAAAAACCAGGTACTGAGGCTTAAAAAAACTGTCACCTAAATTTTGATATGAAGAGGCAGAATCTCCAGTATTCGTCAGTGATATAAAAAAGCTGAAAATTTAAGACTCCCAAAGCAGCACTCCAAAAAATTCTCAAGGATATTCTAGAAGGAGACAATGACCTGATTAATGTCAAAAAGTACAGGAGAATGGATGCATCAAGTAGGGTAAGCTCTTAGAAGGGGGGATAAAAGGAATCAGCAACAGTAAAATATTGCAATGACAGGAATGCGTCAGTACCGTCCAGTAAAAGCTCTCACTGTGAACGGAACCCAGTTCATTCTAATCAAAAGACTGGGATTGGCAGACTGGATCAAACTATGAAACTGAATGTTATGTTATACACAAGAAACACATTTAATCCTAAAAGAAATTCAAAGGCTAAAAATCAAATGTGGAAAACAAATTCCATGCAATGTGAGCCCCAAAACAAGTAGGAATAGCTATCCTATTGCAGACAAAGTGGACTTCAAGCCACAACTGACCAGAAGAAGCAAAGGTCACTACATATTGGTTAAGGGGACAATTCAACAGGAAGAGACAACTGTCATAGATATATATGCACCAAAAACCAGAGCATGCTACTTCATGTAAAATACTACTTGGTGTAAAAGGTCAGATAAACAACATAGTTACAGTGGGGACCTCAATACCCCAGTATCATGTGTAGACCTATCAATTAGACAGGATTTCAACAAAGAAATATCAGCATTAAACCACATCTCCCAACAGTGGACTTGATAGATATCTACAGAACGTTCCACCGAACAGCAGAATACATATTCTTCTTAGTAGCACAATACTTTCTCTAAAATAGACCACACCCTAGCCTATGAAGCAGTCTTCAATAAATGCAAAAGAATCAAAAAATTTCCATGCACATTATCGGCCATAGCTCAATGAAACTAGAATACAATGGCTAAGTAAGTCAGAGAAATTATACTAATACATAGAGGTTAAATAACGTACTTTTGAATACTCAGTGGATCCCAGAAGAAACCAAGGAAGAAATTAGTCAGTTCCTAGCATCAAAGGATAATTCTAGTGCAATATACCAGTATATTGGACGCAGTGCAAGAAGCCCCAATGGAAACATTTATAACTGTAAATACCCAGATCAGAAAAGCACTCAGTGGCACAGCACCTACCTGGCAAGCATGGGGTCCTGATTTCGAGTCCCAGTACAAAAAAAGGCAGCCCAAGCCCCAAAAATCCACTTATGTGCCCCAAAGTCCTAGATAAACAAAAGCAATCTAAATCCAATGCTAGTACAAGGAAGGAAATTATACAGATCAGAACATATATTAATGAAATAGAGACCAAAAAGAATCAATGAATCAAAAAGCTGGTTTTTGAAAGAATAAACACAATTTACAAAACCTTAATCTATCTTACCAAAAAAGGAAAGAAAAGACCTATATCAGTGCAGTTAGAAATGAAAAAGGCATTATCACACAGGACATCACTGAGGTCTGGAAACTTATAATATACTTCAGTATATTGGAGAAGTGGAAGAAGAAACAGAAGAAACGGACAGGTTCCTAGATTCCTGTGAATTACCAAAACTGAGCAAAGAAAGTAAAAACGTCTGAATGACTCATTAAAGGCAGTGCAACAGAGGCAGTCATGAAAGACCTACCAAGTAAGAAAAGCCCAGGATCCAACAGACTCAAAACTGATTCTACAAGAGCTTTCGGGACAAACTAATGCCAGTCTTCCTCAGACTCTTCAGTGAAATGGAAAAGGAAGGCAAACTGACAAATTCACTCTTGGAAGCTGGCCTTACCTTGATTCCAAAACCAGATACAGATGCAACTAAAAAAAGAAAACCACAGGCTAATCTCCTTAATAAACATAGATGCAAAAATCCTCAATCAGGTACTGACAAAGAGAATGCAGCACTTCTTTACAAAGATCACACATCCTGGCCAAGTAGGCCTCATCCTAGGGAGGCAAGGATGGTTCAACATACACAAATTAATAAATGTAGAACATCACGTAAACTGAAGCCAGGACAAAAAATCACACGATCATCTCAACAGGCACAGGAAAAGCCTTTGACAAAATTGAACATCCACTCATGATAAAAACCCTGATGAAGACAGCATTGTACTGGTGCAAAAACAGACATGTAAATCAATAGAACAGAACAAAGGATGCAGAAGTAAACCCAGGCACATTCAACCCGCTGATCTTCAACAAAGGGTCCAGAAAGATATGCTGGGGGAAAGACAGCCTCTTTAACAAATGGTACTGGGAAAATTAGCTATACATACATAGAAGATTCAGTATAGCCCCATGTATTAAACTAAAACCAAAATGGATCAAAGATATAAATATTAAAACAAAAAACAAACCTACTGGAAGATAAAATAGGTAAAACTCATGGGTATACACAAGGACTTTCTGAACAGAACTCTAATTACACAAGAAATAACAGCAAAAATCAACAGTGGAATTATATCAAATTAAGAAGCTTCTGCACAACAAAGGAAATAGAGTGAAGAGTCTAGCTACAGAATTGGGAAAAAAAAATTTATCAGCTATTCCTACCACTGAGGACTAGTATCTAGAATATATAGAGTTCAAAAAAATGGGCCCACTAAAATAAAAGGCCCAATCAAAAAGTTAGCATCTATAACAAATAGATACTTCTTAAGAGAAGTACAAATGATCAATAAATACATGAAAAAATGGTCCATATCTCTGGCTATCACAGAAAGGCAAATTAAAACAGCAGTGATAGCCTCTCTTGCTCCAAAAAGAACGGCTGTTGTCAAGAAATTAAATAATAAATGCTGGCAAGGCAGTAGTGGAAAAGGGAACACTTCGCTATATTATCCCCACATATGATCTAACTGAAACACATGCCTCATGATTTCTCAGGCTTGTAATATAAGCCCTACACCCAAATTGAACCCTGGCTAAGACAGAGGCATTTAGTGTGTCCTCTGCAACACTTGATGGACACACTGAATTATAAATTAAGGTTAACAGTTAAAATAAATGATAATATAAATTATAATTAAATACTTGTACATACCCAAGCGGGCACCTTTGGATGGGAGGTAAACACCTATGTAAACAGGAGCACTTGAGACGTATTGCCAAGTGACCAATGGGAGTTCAGACACAACACACAGATAACATGTGAATGGATATGGTTATGTATAATATGAATCTTCATAATTCAATACACTGTGTGTTGTAACGGGCATACTTAATGCACTTGTATAAAATTTAAAAATTTCTCAATTTTGCTGCCTGTAATTTTCTGTTGCTTTTGTGTGGACCGTCATTCTTTTTTTTGTTTTTGTTTTTTGTTTTTGGGTTTTTCCTGGTACCGGGAATCAGACTCATGACCTCACGCTTGCCAGGCAGGTGCTGTGCCACTGAGCTAAATCCCCATCCCCCTGGACAGTCATTCTTAACTGGCATTTTTGCTGCCAATCCTGTCACATAAGTCTTCATTGAACGCTGGGTTCAATGGAAACTGTGAGGCTAGCTTGCAATAGGTCGCAACATGGGTGAAGAATTCACGGGATAAAATCGCTGAGTACTGTGTGGCCAAAGCACTATGAGCAGGCTACATGGGCAAGAAGTGCGTATTTAAGGGGGGTTGTACTGCTGGACATGAGAGATCAGAGCCAGCGTTTCTATAGAAAGTGGAGTCGCAAGAAACTCAGGCCAGAATTCAGGATTTACAGAGTTATGATGATGTTCTGGGAGAAGATGAAACGGCTGTATTTGAATAAATGTAGATTTTGGTATACAAACAAATGTAGATTTTTTTACATGAATAAATGTAGGTTACTGTATGTGAGAAAATATGACATCCACTGAAGATAAACCTTGTTGCATCTTTAGGAGAAAAATTAAAATGAGACTCAGTCTTATTTTCAATGAAATGCTGGATACTGTTGGGGAGAGTGTAAACTATATTCATATGGAAATCAGTATGGAGATTCCTCTAAGAAATTAGAATAGAAATTCTGTTCAGCTGAGCTATTCCCATTCTAGGTATTTTCCTGAAAGAGTTAAAGGCATCACATTGCAGTCATGCATCCGTGGATGTTTACTGCAGCACAACAATAGCTAAATCTTAGACGCCACCCATATGCCCATCCAGAGATGAACGGGTAAAGAAAATGTGGTATTTATATATAGTGGAGTACTATTCTGCTGTGAAGAAGGATGCATTTGAGTGATTTGTAGGAAAATGGATGCACCTTGAGACCATAATATTAAGTGAATTCAGATATATGAATGTAAATAACTCATGGTTTCACTTATATGCGAAAGCCATAGGTAAATTAAAGAACAATATAAAAGATAACAGCAAATGCGGAGACAGAACATTTGCAAATGAGAAGGGACCAAGAGATGGACAGGGGAGGAAGAAAAGGGGAAGAGGAAGTAGGTAGAATTCATGTGTGTGTGAACATGTCCCAACTCTGCGAGGAATGTGATTACTATACACACTGCAAACACGAACGAATGAAAATTAAAATTACCAAATAAAAATTCTAAGTGGAAATAAACCAGAAAGAGAAAAAAAGAATGTCTTATAATTATTAGTGCTATTTAGAAGGAGAAGTAGTTTACGCAGAGACATTCCATGAACCAAAGGCAGAGTGTAAAAAAGTCAGTCTTTGGCCTCATTTGATCCTCACATACGCCAGAGCGGATTTCCCTTACTGAAATGGTCTTCCAGCTACAGCTGATGATGACAAAATGATTTCTTAAAAGGTAAAGCAAATTAACTAGGGTCAGCGAAACTGAAGTCATAGCCAAAAAAGTCTGGAATTTTTCACTTGTTACCTATTGAATTACAACCATTTAGATATTTCTGGGAGCTGGAGACCCAGCATCTTGTCTATTAGGCCAAATATGGCCACACTCCACGTTAGGGAAAATGTTTGCTGAAGAGGCAGCAGAGGGCAAACAGTAAGAGGATTAAAGTGTACACGGTGCAAACACAGAGAACCGGAACGAATTTAACGCCTGACACTGTCAAGAGTAGCGGAGTGGATTTTAAGGAGGGACTCTTACATTCTTCTCAAAGTTTTCTAGAGTAAATTCGTTGGGCTTGGGGAAAAACTCCAGCCTATGCATCCTTCCAATATTCAGGATAATGTTAGTTCCCTTTTTCACCGTGTAGCCGTCGATGACATCGTCTTCTAAGGCTTTACGCATGACCAAGTCCACCACAGGCTGGTAGCGCATGCTCTCATAGATGAAGTTTTCCAGCACTTTTAATTTCTGCACATCATCAATTTCTATGTCTCTTTCACCTGTAGACACAGATAAGAAAGGAAAGGGAAGGTAATGCTGGCTTCACTATTTCATGAGCATTAATTCTATTTTTTCCACAGAATAGTCTTCTTGGTTGAAAAAAATCAGGTCAGTACTTCTAATGCACACTGGCAATCGCAACTAAATATGCTATATTTGGCCAGCGCAGACTTTTATTAATTATTATTAATAATTAATAATTAAATAATAAAATAATAATTAAAAATGATTATTATTTATTATTCAGATATGAGGTCAGTTATCTTAAAATCTGGGAGATTTCATAGACAAGCTGAAAACTCACGAAGAATCAGAAAATATGGTAACACTGACCCACATGCAACAAAGGGCCAAAGTTGAAGCTTCACTCGCCCCCTTGAGAGGGGCACCCATGCTACAGATCCGTGTCAAACACACACAGCCTGCTGCACACGTTCACCTTGGCTGTCCGGCCTCTGAGGCTGTGAGTTTTGGTCCTGTGCTCTATGATCTAGGGAATGTTCGTGAGAAAGCCAGAACCACAGTCGTCTCAGAGAAGTGGGGCAGGCTGCCGCTGCAGTCAGAGCAGCGCAGTGGACTTGGTCCGTACCAGCGAATTTTCTCCTCTGGTGATCTGTGCAGTCATCTGCCCACACATGCCGCTGATGGTCCCTCCACGTCTCACCAGGAGCTGCCTGTTACGTGGAGTGACAAGAATCCACCCACACAGTGGCAAAATACGTGCCACACACCAGGTTGCGGGGTTGGTGTTGATGAGCATCTCTTCTTCAGCCTGGACGGATGCCAGTCAAGAAGACTGGGTTAGTACCAGAGACGGCAGAGCCACAGAGGACCCACAACGGACCGCTGCCTTTGTGGAATCAGAATCCACCCAGCGTCCTGTGGCAGCCCTGTCACCTGTATAACTGGGCTCCCGAGGTGGTCTAGTATGGCCATAGCACTGTACCAATACTAAGAGCCCTGCCCCGCTGCACTGTTCTCATACGAAGATCTAGTGCGGAGTGCAGAAGTGGGTGGGAGCAGAAGGGAAGAGGACCAAGCCGACCAAAGGCATTTGCTAAAGTGCAGAGACCACATCTGTCTGCTGAGCGCAGGAGGGAGCACGGACACACACGCAAATGCTCTGCTGTTTCTCTCTTTCAGCGTCTACTGAAGGGTCAGGGAAACATCAGGAAGCACAAGGTGGCCCGTGGCACACACACGCGATGTTCACCAGCTCACACACAGCCTAGGCAACTTAGTGACTCAGCAAGACCCTGTCTCAAATGGAAAACCAAAAGGTGCTGCAGACACAAGTCAGTGTGGTGGTCCTTGGTGTAAGCCTCACCACAGCTAAGAAAAGAAAAGCAAAAAACAAAAAGCATTATAAGGACTTCTGTCTTCTCTGCTCTGGCAATTCTGATCTCTCCTGACTGGGGCCGTGTTCCTCTGAGGAGATGGCAAGGGGTGGTGCTGAAGCAGAGGCAGGGCGTAGAGCTGGGAGACAGGCAAGAGGAGGGCCGGGGACCTGCTGATGAGGGGCAGCATCCCTGGCCTGGAGCAAGGAAGGAAACCCAAACCTGCCCTGTTGCTGCTTCTACCCTTTCCTCCTCTTCCTGCCATCGGGAAGTCCATTTGTGATCAGGCTGCTTAACCTGGAAGTATGTCTGTAAACGACAGCTGTTTTCCTGGGGACATGTGCAAAAGGCTTTTGTGACTGCTAATGCTGGCAGAACGTTGTGGATGATCCCAGCTTCTTGTAAGACAGATAAACCTACCCACCTGTGTTCGTGTGCACAAAGCAAATGACCCTGCGGAACACACAGCACCCACCGAGCAGGGCTTGCCTCTGCGGTGGGAGCGAGGCTGGGAGGACAGCGGAAAGCCCCGGGGGTGGCACTTTCTGCCTTGGACGTATCTCTGCATCTGAAGGTTTTCAGTGAGCATGGCTTATTTCTATAAGCAAACCCAGAATCATCTTTCAAACTACCTTGCATAGTCAAAGCGTGACAGAGTAATCTGCTTCATTTTTTCTCCAAGTGAATAGAAAAATTCTTTGTTTGACATCAGATTCTTAAGTAAAGAAAGTGACATGTAGAGGGAATCATTTTTCAGCTTTGTTGCTGAGTTGGTAAAGTCTTACCAATAACAGTCTGGATTTCCTTCATGATCACCTCTTCAACCTTAGGGTGCTCTGCAATGAGAAACAGCATGAAGTACACCGTGACGGACATGGTGTCGGGCGCTGCAATGAGCATCTCCAGGACGCACTGGTTCACATTCTCCCTTGTGAGTTCTCCGCGTTTCTGAGCAATGGAAAGAGAGGAAACATTGGGCGAATGAGTTGAAATTTCAACAGTAAAGGGCAGTGACACTCCAACCGCCTCCGCAAAATGAAATTACAGAAATTACGTCTCTCCCATTGCCTGTGAACACTTTGCAGGAGGATCCTCAGCTGCAATGTGCACAGTTTAGCCAGTCAGCCATGTGCAATTGGTCCTTCGTATCCTTGGGTTCCACATCCATGGGCTGAACCAAATGGATGTGGAAAATACTTTTTGAAAACTAAGTGTACTGAACATGTATAACTCTCTCGCTCGTCACTTTCACCTACACAGTATAGTGGAGCAACTTTTTACATAGCATATACATTATATTACATATTACAATCCAGAGATCATTCCAAGAATGCTGAGGACATGCACAGATTACATGCATACACAGTACCACTGTCTATAGGGGACTTGAACACCCTTGCATTTTAGTATCTGGGGAGAGTTCTGGAACAAAGCCCTTTGGATACTAAGGGATGATGGTGTTTAGCATCTTGGTCTCTCTGCTTCCTGTTCTCCTATTTTGGGTCATGATACTGAAGAGTTTCCCTCTTAAAATTCAGTCTTACTAGAACTTTTACTACTGTTTATATAGGATTGCTAGAGGAAACACTTGAAAAGAGAAATATACAGCAATTTTAAAAGGAGAGCTTTCCTCCCCTATACACAGATGGTCCCAATTTGTTGAGTGACTAACTGGTTAGTTCTTGTCAGTACCTCAGCAAAAATCAACTCCGTGGCAAAATCCATACACTCTTCCAGTTTCTCTGCTGTGCAAACCTTGTGTCTCTTTTCTTCTACCAAATTATCTATGGCATCTTTCAAATCCTTCCTGGAGGAAAAAAAATACAATCTTACATTCAGTTTAGACAGATAGCAAAACAGACTCATTTACTCTTTGTTAAATGAAATGTTCTGCTTTATTTGAAGCCAGGTGTGCTTATAAGTAGATGAATTTGTATTTTATGTCTTCACAAATATCCTTCATTGGCATATATTTATAATGTACTTCATGTTAAGGTGGCAGAGTATTGTGGTTTCTGTCTAGATGTCCCCCCAAAGCCTCATGCCGTCATGGGGTGGGCTTGTAGAGTTTATGATTGATTCATGGTCCAATGTTGGGATTAAGGATGTGACTGCTACACCTGTCCTGGCGTGGGTAGTTTGCATACAGTGTAAGGGAGGGCAAGTGGCTGCTTGCTGCTGCTCCTCTCTTTTTGCTCTTGTTGCTTTTGCTGTTTTCCACTGCCATGAACTGTTGCCCTCTGCCCTGTGCCACTCTGCCTTGGAGCCAGCTGAGTATGGACTGAAACCTCTACAAACTGTGAGCTAAATAAAACTTTCTTTCCTTAATTCTGGGCATCAGGTACTTTGTCTCAGCAACAAGAGAAAAATAACCAAGACACAGAGCTAAGTAAGATTGCTATATACTGGTAGCAAAACCAGAGATGTGAGTTTATGGTTAAAGGTTAAAAACACATACCAAAGGCCACATCCAACCACGTTTTGCAACTTCCTCTTTGGCAGGTACAGTCTTTCATTTGAAAATGCAGGTGTGTTTAGTGAGGACAGGTGCTGTTCACTTTACTACAAAAGCCACCTTTTCCTGTTTTCTTATAGCCACACAGCAGAAGTTGATTTACCTGGCTCTGAAGACTATTGAGGTTGAGGAGTGTGTGTTGTGTGTGTGTGTGTGTGTGTGTGTGTGTGTGTGTGTGTGTGTGTGTGTGTTATGTGTGTTTTCTTTCAGTGCTTGAGATTTAAAACAAGGGTGTTTTACAGCTGACCTACACATTCCCAAACCTTTTTATTTTTTTCTTTTCAGACAGCATCTTGCTAAACTGCACAGGCTGGCCTTGGACTTGGAATTGTCCTGCTTAGCTTCCTGAGTAGCAGAGACTATAGGTAAGCACACTGCACATGGCCAAATCTGAGATTCTCCCTCTAGATAATAAATTTTAGTAGAGTGAATATTTTTGATATTATTGACAGTTAATCTCATATCTTATGGCTTCTGCACTAGGTAAGTATTTGTTGAAACAATGCTTGGGTAAATAAATATATTAAGCATTTGGACAGTGCAATCTTAGGAAAAGCCCCTTGGACAGAGGGTGAGGTTCTAGCCCAGGTCGTTCTCTTTTTGTGTAACCCACTTGACTTCTGTGAGCTTTGTACATCTTTCCAAGTGAAAGGATCAGACTCAGCAGGCAATGACATCATCTTGAGATCTAAACTGCTATTCTTTTTTCTGTCCTTTAGTGTCTGTGTTCATCTATGTGTATTCTTCATATTGAAAAGATTCTGTATTACATTGTCTTGGTTACTTTTCTCTCATTGCTGAGACACCTAGAAGTAAGGAAGGAAAGGTTAACTTAGCTCACAGTTTGTGGAGGTTTCAGTCCATGTTCAGCTGACTCCAAGGCAGAGTGGCACATGGCAGAAGGCAACAGTTCATGGCAGCAGAAGACAAAAAAAGCAATAATAACAAAAGGGAGGCGTGGCAGGAAGCAGCCTCTTTCCCTCCCTTACACTGTATGCAAGCTACCCGCCCCAGGGTGGGTGTAGCCCTCATACCCATAATCCCAGCATTGGATCATGAATCAATCACAAATTCTAGAAGCCCACCTCATGACTGCATGAGGATTTGGGAGCACATGCAGACACAAACCATAACATACATTAAATGTATAATCAGCCTTTCTTTCTCATTCTGGTATGCATTGTCATGTATACACTTAAATAGTTTGTGGATGTTTTTGCTATAAATCATCTTCATGCTCACTGCAGCTTTCAGGAAATATAAAGGAAGCATATTTAGGCAATGCTCCAAATATCCCATTTTAGTTTTAAAGTTTATTTGGACATCATAAGAACATTTTCAGAGGTATTTTTATAGTCTGTATAGTAATTATATATCTCTAAACAAGATGCACATATTGTGTATCTCTATGAGTGTGCCTAAACACACAACGAGCACACACAAACTCCTCAAGATATGTACCAAAATGTATTCACATGCATTCATTCTTCTATCCATTCAGGTATTCGGTAAATGTTCTTTGAGCAATTTGTACATACAAAGGACAGATATTCACTCAGTTGCTGGTGGTCCTGGTTATGGTCCTCCCTTCCCATAGGCTTAGGGTGTTGATAGATTTCTACTTGAGCCCTGGCTCCAGAATGGCCCAGGAGGTATTACAATTCCCCTAGGCTCTGACTCCACAGAATTCTTTCATGGAACTGCAGCCACTACTGAGCAGACCCTTCCTCCCTGAGCTACCACCCATGATTTAGCTGCAGTGGACTGTGGATGCCCTTTGGGGTTCTTCCTAATTAGTTACAAGTTGACCCTATGTAAATGCATGCTCTGGATTCAGGTACTCTTCGAAACTAGAAGAATCAAGGTCAATGGCAGTTTTCAGAGAAAAGGAATTCCTTGACTTCCAAGAATTGATTAGAAGAATGCACTTGTGAGTTGATTGTTTGGCATTCTGAATACATTTTCCACTAAGGCAATGATGGGTAGCATACCAGCTCATTCTACAGATACCAATTTAAGGTTTATGTGGCTGAAAAGTCTTCATTTTGCAAAATAAAGGGTGGAAAGCAATACTGCTATGATATTTGAAATTGAAAGAGGTAAAATATAAAACTGAGTAGAGATAGAGGCAGGTGTCCAAGTATTCTGCTTCAAAATTTAAAAAACAAAACAAAACGATTGGCCTTATTTTAAGGGCATATTGGGGTGGGATTTCTCTCAGTGTAAAGATTTCTCTTGGTGTTAACTACTGTGGGATATAGGAGATAGAAAGGAGTACCCTAACTGTTGGCAAACCTTACATATAGAGGCAGTGTTGGTGAGCTGATATGTACAGATGCCGAAGAGAAACTGTAACAGTCTCATGCAGTAAGTTTCTATGGGAGGAGTCACCAAGGTCAGTGCTAACCTAATGACCAATTCATAATGACATAATTTGACTCTTCAAACCACCGGTTACCACTTCCACCAAATCCAATTAAATGAAGGGATAACCACTTTATCTAAATGATTCAAGTCAAAACAGGCTTTGTGGAGACAAAATCAAATGTGTAAAGAACTGGTATCAGATTACCTAGTTAATACCAACCAACCATAGTAAACTGTGCAAAGCAATATGAAGTTAGATTCCTCCCTAGAGACTATAATACAGCACTACTGGATTTCAAAATCCACAAAAAGGATAAAGTGGAGATTTCAAATAACTCTGTGACCTTTTAGAGATGGAGAACTTAAGATGGTCGGGACATGCGGGAAGATACGAACACAGGGACAGGGGAAACTACCATATTTAGTGGCCATCCTCTGGGCTGCTTTCTCTACACACATTGTCCCCTTAACTCATCCCCCGCTCTAGCAGGTAGTTTACATTTTACTTGAAATGACTTCCTAAAGCCACTTATTTCTTGGTGATGAGATAAGATGCAAACCACAAGGTGATGTTCTGCCTGTGGATCCCAGGAGCTTTCCACTGGTGTGTAGAGGAGGCAGTACTTAGTGGCTGGCTACTTACACTCATAAAAACCTTCAGGTTCTTCTGTAGGCTATTGGTCATTTGTCCAGTTTTCTACTGGATTACTCTAAGCACTAAATCAAACCATTTAATGACAGTTTCAGGACCCACAAAACACAAGATATAAATCCAAAAAACCCACACATTTTCTTGAAGTTCATTATAGTCATTATCAAAAATTCTTTTGGGACTTCTGCGAATTCTTCAAATTTGCTCCATTAATTCAAAAGCAATACAATTATAAATTGATTATGTTCTTCCAACTTTCTAGGTATGGTTTTGACAAACATTAATGATAGCATTAGGTAGTCCTCTTCAAGTTAAAATAGACTGCTCTTCAAGTTAAAATCCAGAGATGAGCTATCAGACCACACACCGGGCTCCTTGCGGTGGAGCTGTGGAGCTGAAAGCCACCAAATTGCTCCAAGTGTTATCATCAACAACTTAATCATGAGAGTCCTGTGAGCTCCGGAGGGCACAAATCTTGCCAGAGGCCAACAACAGCAAAGACACACACAAAACCCAATCAGCTTGCACTCATAAACTGTCCAGGTGTGTGCTACTTACACAGGCTTTTCATACTTTTTGTAGAGCCAAGAAATCTTAAAGAAGATATTTGGTTTGATAATGAGAGCTTGCCATGCATCAAAATAACCCTGGATTTTCCTCACGATGGCAGTTTCTAGAAAACAAAAACAAAACCAGAGCCACTGAACAAAATGTGAGCCTGAGAAGAGCGCTGTGAGCCGCGAACACACCCCGTAGGCTTCCCGCCAGGGGGGGCCTAGCTGAGCGCACACAGTTCCATCGCCTTTCGTGGTTTGTCCACGTGAATGCCACGAGACAACTTCAGCACTAATGTAATCCACTCACATCTAAATTGGCCAAGTTAACCAGAGACGAGTGAGAAATTTTCAAATTTGTGTTTGAGACACAGAATCTTTCATATTTCCTCTGAGTCCCCAGCTCTCTCCTGTTTTTATGGACAAAGAGGACTGGTAATTAAAGCTGCTGTGGCCGTGACTCTAGAAACCGGGGGAGCGAAAATCTGAGCTTGTTAGGCAGAAAGCGTCACTGCGCTTGGTGTTGGGAGGGCAGAGCCAGTGGGAGGCGGGCAGCTGCCTGGACTGTGCACCTCACTGATGGCTCCCAACTACACTATCGCTTCAGAGTCCTTTACTCATTTTCTCAGAGCCCTAACCTTGTCATACAGCTTCTGTAGTTATTTACATTTGTCTAGATTATAGAATCCATCTTAATTTCTTCAGTGCCTGTCCTTGAGCTTCATGCATAATCAGTAATAAGTGATTACTCTTAAATCGAGTATCAGAGAACAGAAGAGCTTTGCTTTTTTCAAATTACATCACTTTGTATGCAAAGGAAGGGAGCCAACATTTGCTCTGAATGGCCACTGCGCTGGGGGCTTTACACAAGAGGCTTTAAATTGAGCCTTTATAATCTTACCAAGGGAGTGTTAGGGTCTTCATCATTTTGCGGATGAAGGAACCTCAATTCATCGAGGTTGAGAAATCTGAGCGACACCACACAGCCGGTGGGTCAGGTAGGCTCTTAGACGGGAGCCCGGTTCTGTCCGATCTCAGGGCAATATCCTTCCTCTTTGTTGTATTAAATTCCACAAGCAAGTTAAGTGTTTAACTTAACTGTGTGGGTTATAACAGATTCTCTGGCATGAGAGTCTGAGCCCATCGAATAAGAGAGAGGTGCAGTTATTTTGCATGATCCTTTATAATGATAGAAGCTTGTGGGGAACCGAGGAGTGAGGCCATGTAGTCGTGTTTCTGCCTACTTGAGCAGAGGTATATGTACAACAGGTAAGAAGGAGATCAAGGGAGAGGGTGTAACTGAAAATTTTCAGAGTGAATGGAGGCTCCTCTCAAAATGGCGGCCAGGTGCAGTTTGTGTACAGCCCCTTAAAGACCAGCCAGAGTAGTGGAGACGAGACAGGGCAGCAGCCAGGAGAAAGGACGGGCTTGTACCGCACCTCTTCACCCAAATATGGTGAATCAGGCGGTGTGTGTTAGGCCTCGGTGGCTTGACAAGTGTTAAAATCTGTGCATTGTTCTTCTGCCTGGAACATTCTCCCTTTGGGTCCGCACATGGCTCCGGGACTCACTTTATGCAGGCCGTGTGCAAATGTCCTGTCCACAGAGGCCGTTACTGCCTGCTCTGTACTACGTGGACCCACTCCTGTCATTTCCCTTTTGCTTTCTGTTCTCCTACCCTGTTTTGTGTTTACGTCAAGACACTTAATGCTGCCTAATATATTTTCTTAACATTTATTTGTTTTACTGTCCATATCCTCACCATAAGGTAAGCTCCTTGCAAGTAAAAATGTTCGTGGTTTTCTTTATCACTCTATCTCTAGAACTTACAGCAGTCCACAGCATGAAGTAGGCAGTTGGTAAGCATTTGTTGAGTAAATATACAAATCAGTGAACAGTGCCATAAATTAATTCAGAAATAATCATATTAAGCTGGATATATTTGATGCCAACAGCAGACTGGAATTCATTTAGGTAATTGCTCACTTTTTGGTGGTTGTAGGGTTGCATGCGTGTGCTTTAATATTCACTTCTGCAACATAGTGAGGAAAAGGAGACATCCTGCCCACGCTGTTACAAATATTAAATGGCAAGCATGTGTAAAGCAACGGCTCAAACTGTTTTTACAGAGTGGCTACTAAGTTAATGGCAGGTATCATCATCATTTCCAGTAGCAGTAGCAGCATCACAACCACCACTGGCATTTTTAACATGCAAATAAAGTCAAGTTTTCATATACAGTAGCCTCGGGGAAGGATATGTGCGCACTTAGAAATATGTATGTAGGAACGCGTATGTCATGCCCAAAGGAATAGTTGGCGTGTGTGTCAATCTTTTCTTTTTTTGCTCTCTTTTTAAAAGTGTTAAAATGATTTTTAAAGGAAATGTGTTACTTATATACATTAACGATATTATTCATTTTATACATAGCCCAAGGCAATTCCTATTCACTCAAAGAAAAACAGGACAGAAATTGGGGGCCACACATTGAATGTAGCTGGTTACATGTGCCAGGGTTACCGTGGTAAGCTGTCTTTATGACCAGCTAAACCATTAGGTTTGGGGCTGCAATAGAAGCCAGTTTCCTAGAGCAGTGAGGAGAGATGTAAAAGAAATAGAGCCCTACTTTATGGAAATTTATCAATGTTTATAGAAGAACAAGGCAAAAACACTAGGGGAAATACCCTCAAGCTAATTACACACGTTTAGTCAGAGCAGTGTACAAAACAGTGTGTTTCCTCTAGCTGACTGTTGCAGTCATTGCCTCGTCTGATAAAGGGCAGGATGTCAAGTCGTAAGAATAAAACCATCAGTACCGTCCAGGGGGATTCCGAGGAAGAGCATGTTAGAGGTGTCCAGCATGATGCACCGCATAAGGGTCAGCACGTCCACGTTGCCTGACGTATTGGTGACCTCCTCCAACCTGTCCAGGTGCCTGACGATAGACTGAGCACAGACTGCCACCATGCGGACGAGGCCAGGGCCTGTCAGAGCTGCAGGACACACGTGACAGTCAGCTTCGAGCAAGTCCAGGGTGCACACCATCAGACATTTTGGGCTTCTTTTGTTTGCTCACGGTTTGCTTCTTTTAACTGCTCACGGTTTTACTTTAAGGAATAGAGGGGAATTTTCCATACTCTTTATACTTGCATGTATTTTCCTAATTTTCTACAAAAGCACATACGTACCTTTATGGTTAAAAATATGTGAATGAACAAATGCATGCATGAATGAATATTTTCAAAGCACTATTTCAAATTTAAGATTTTCTTCATGCTCTGGCAAATCATTTGTGAGATCGCATATGAAATATTTAATAGTTCTGATCATAGTTACAAATCAATGATTTTTTTTTTTTACTTTTATTTTATACATTTCCCTTAGGAACAGTTTCGATTTGGTTCGAGTCATATTCATTTTGTTTCCACAGGGGGCAGCATATTACCACATAAGTATTGAAATTGGTTCTTTTTACTTGAATTAAAGTGCTGCCCCTTTGTCTATGGAAGTTAAAAAATAGTAGTCTTACAAAAGACCCAAAATGTTCCTTTCATTTTCATTTCTCTTCAACTTACTTTTAGATTTCTTTTACTCAACCAGTGGCATGCTAAGCAACTCCTTGTTAGCGCTGCAGTTTTCCCCAGTGAACTGGGTGAAAACTGCTTATTCGCATTGTACATCAAATCAGTAATGCAGAGGGCCCCCAGTACATATTTGCAAAGTAAAAGAATGAATGAACAAACAGGTAGATTAGTGCACCGGTCCAACCTCCCACTTGCTCTATCCCGGACCTCCTGGACAGGCTAGTGAGTTCTGGCTATCATGAGAGTATAATTCCTGAAGTTTTCTTTTTTTTTTTTTTTTTTTTTTTGCTCTAAATTTCTTTAGCCTTCCTTCAGGAATAATTTCTCATGTTCCTTCAATACAGACAAATGTCTTCCAGTTGTCAGGAAACACATACTATTTTCCAGTACTCCTGCTACTTGCCCCCCATCTTTGATGAACTCTTTCCTAAGTTACACTAACCTGTTTCTCTGCACACACTCCCAATGAGTTAGTACTTTCGTGATGTTCCAGGTTCAAAAGCCAAAACTTTTCCCAGTATTTCTACTACATCAGGAAAACCAATGAGCAGTGCAGTTCAAAGGGAGATTAATCAAGAAATGTTGAGGATTCTCGTTGATTATAAAAGTACCGGGCACCAATGAGCACTCAGTAAGCAGTCATTCTTCTGTTGTATGGCATTTAACTTGAGTTCAGTTCTGCAACATTTTTCTTAGAAAATGTGATGTAGCATATATAGGGTTAATCTAAAATAATTCACAAAGATGCTCTGATTGATTTCCAAGTACTGTGGGTCCTGCTCCTTTGACTTTTCTTACACCAGTGGCCTCCTTCCCTCCATCCTCCCTGCATCACTGCTGACATCACAGTTACCTACAAACAGCCATTCCCTCAGCTACCACGTACTCTGCCATGCACACAGGTAAGAGGGAGGTTTTTCTGAATTACAAAGTTCATGTCACTCTGCTGAAAATCTTGAGCAAGTTCTCCTAGCTCGTGAATAAGCTCAACTCCTGAGCTTACCAGAGAGTCTTTGGTGACGTGGCTCTGCCCACCCCTTGGTTCCTACCTTGTGTGTTGGTACCAGTGCCAGGACCGGTCGTGTTGATCTCTCCTCTGCTTTGGAATAATCTGTTCTATACTTCTAGCATGTTTTCCCCTGTCATGCTTTCTTAAGTAGGTTGTATTTCCTTTAGAATTCATCATAAGCATCCACTCCTCTGAAAAGTCTCCCTGATGCCTCAGTGGCTTTAGATGGTCCGTTTGTTTGTGCCCTGCAGCCCTGTGCACTCCTGTAGCATTACAGCACCTAGACCAGCATTTGGTGATATACTGGCCTAAGTCCTCCTGGCCCACACCCATCCTTTACATATCCTCAAGGCCAGGGGCTGTGTCTTCTTTGTCACTGTATTCTTGACACCTAGTTGCATGATGACAATAGTGGCTTGTTAAACAAATGGAGAAGTTTAGAGATTCTACCAACTCTTGCATTGCCAGGTAGAGGATATATGTTGATGTGAAAGTTAACTACGCCTAAATACTAGTTCACATATTCCAAGTAGACCGGGGTCAAATGACAAAGTAAAGTTTACATGAATGGGACCTTACAGCATTATATCACTTGTTGTTCGTAAGACAGTGGAGCGCCAGTTCTGTGATATTTATCAACTCTGGTGGAAGTAGCTGAAGTACAGAGCGGTTAAGTGAGTAGCCCAGGATCACATAGCTAGTTAGTGGCAATTCTGGGATTTGAACCCACGGTCTCTAAGCCTGATTACTTTTTCCATTAATCCATTCTGCAGTTCTGTAAGGAGTAGGGAAACTGACCTCCCCAACATGAGTAATAGCAGACAAATTGGTCTCCAGAGTTGTCTGGGTCTAATTCTCAGGAGCTATTCGTATATTACACTGAGACAAGGACTGGCAGAGATGATTAAGGTGAAGGACCTTGGGATAAAGAGATTAGTATGGGTTTTGGTTTTTTTGGGTTTTTTTTTCTGGTAACGGGACTCGAACTCATGACCTCATGCTTGCCAGGCAGGTGCTGTACCGCTGAGCTAAATCCCCAGCCCCAAGAGATTAGTATGAATTCTCAGGGTGGGCCAGAGCTAATCCTGTGAGTCCTCACAAGTATGGAAATGTCCCTTGCTGAGGTCAAGGTGAGAGAGACGTGATGACCTACGGGGGAGGGCCAAAGAGATGTGACATGGGCAGGCCTGGACCACGCCACAGCCACGGAGTGAAAGTGGCTTGTGGAGGCTGGGAACAGAAAGCTTTTACACCTCGATGTCGGCCTGTCAGACCCACAGCTGTCTTCTGCCCAGCAGCAGTATGAGGCAGCAAATATGTCATTTGCTAGGGGTCTGTAGCACTGGGGCCTGTAACAGACTGGAGCTGAGTCACGGCTCCAGGCACCTCTGTGGGATGGGATTGACATTTGGCGGGCACACGGAGAGACATGGCTGCTCCCTGTGTGAGCGGCTGTGTAGGAGGCATCTCAGCTCACTGTGGAGGTGGAGGGAGGGAAGAACATTGATGGGACAGGTCCGCCTCAAATCTAGCTAGCTTCAGACTCCACCGCTGACAGCACTTCCAGGCCGTGATTGCCTTCCTTGATGCTTGGCTTTCACATCAGAGGTTGGCGCCATTTGTCGGCATCATCATCATTTCCAGTGCGATGTAGTAAAGGCGGAAAACCACTAGGTAAGAAGGCTTGGAATTGGAGCTCTGTTCACCTATGACTCTCTGTGCTGTCTGTGTGAAAGACACAGCCCCTGTAGGACTATTTCCTAAAGTATGAAGCTAGAAGGCTGGGTGGGCAACACATGCAGTCCCTTTTCAGGAGTTAAAATTCATTAGTTTCATTCACAAATTGATTTCTCCTGAAACGTCTGGGCTGTCAGTCAGTAACTCAGGAAACCCACTGATTAGTACGGTGACACACTAAATGCTTAGTTGGAAGGACCCTAAATGTACAGGTCTGTCTCTTCATTATCTCACGAAATGGCTGTGTACCTCTATGCGGGGGCTACACATGCAGGCCCTGGTTTGTACCCAAGTGACCCGCTTAGTAACGCTGGGACTTAGGGAAAGCTACAGAACCTCTTTATGCTTCAGTGTTCCCATCTGTACCATGCGGGTGATGAGAGTAGTTAGCCCAGGCAGTTGCTGTGGGATTAAAACATCAAGCGCTTAGAACAATGTCTGATATATGATAAAGGCGTAAAGGAAGCCCTTCTCATCATATCACTTCAAATCAGTAAAGTTGCAAAATTTTACATATGACTTTTGAAAAGGCATATTTGTAAACGAAAGGGAAGAATGGAGCCAGGCTCCCACTTACCTTTCATAAAGAAAGGCCGAACTGCTTTCCAGATGTCCGGGTTATTGTTAAATATGATGCCATTCTCATGCATCCCGATGCATTGCAGCCCAGGCTTGCTGCCGAATCGGGAGATATAGTGACTGTGCTTCATTATGTGGAACATACTTGAGGACCTGAAAAGAAAGCAAACTTCTGCTAATCTTCTCATCACAAAAGATAGAAAACCTGCTCACATCGTTCCTTCTTGCCCTCTCTTTGCTATCCCAAGTTACAAGCGTACAACCCACCACTGGGTCAGAGCTGCAAGTCTGCTATGAAACAATCCAGTGTAACAGCAGAGTTAAGCAGAGCATGCAGCCTTCCGGGCACTCCCAGTAGTTCGACCTCCTGCAGGAGTGAGCCACAGAGTTACTGCAAAGTCTTGCTTTGTTAGTTTGGTGCAGCAGTTCCATCTAGAAGCTGCCACTCCCTGAAAGTCAGTCCAGGTTTCTCTAGCAGGGTTTCGCTTCCACCCCTGGGCTCTCCAGCGCCTGGCTACCCTGGCCTGGAGGCTCACTGTGGTGGTAGGAGAACTTATCTCTGGGCTCGGTACTGTTTTCCATCATGACTTAGTATGATCTGTGGAGTTGCAGGGTTCTCCCGTGCTACAGGATATGGTTAGCCAGTAGAGAGGGCAATTTGTATGGTACCCAACAGTGAGAATTCAAGCTGCATTAAGTATCATGGGTGTTATCTTTATTTCACATGTTACTTTTTAATTTGATGAACTTTATGTTTATGCATGTTTTCATGTATTCACTGCCACTTGCTTCTCCTTCCCCTCTTCTCCACTGTTTTATTTCTCAACAGCAAATTTTCCTACTATGAAGGTGTTCAAAACATAACCCTCAAATCTTGGCAATGGCTACTATAGTGTATGCACCTGATTGTCAGACTAGGTTGGAGACGCTGCCTTAACACTTGCTCCTTCCTCTCACTGTTAAAACTTGGCTCCTAAAAGGATGACTTCAGATAGGAAACAGGGAGATAGATCCTTTGCAGATGGGAAGGGGACCATGAGATGGAGGGAGTGGGAGGGAAGGTAGAGAAAGGAGAGAAAAAATGACACCCAGGATGTGTTATGTACACGAACCACTCCCCAGGATGAATGTAATCATTATGTACTGCAGACAGATACCAAGAAAAATTTGAAATGTTTAAAAACACAAAAAGGAACTACAAAAGGATGACTTTGCCTCAGCAAGGTTGTTCAAGTAGTGCTTACCAAAATACATTCCCATAGAATGCTGAGTCATGGAGCTGTGCTCTGGCTGTGAGCTTCACATTAGTGAAACTCTCATCATCTTATTTAAAGCTTAAAAGAATGTTTCTGATATACTAGCAGTATAGGGAATGGAAATAAAATTATAATTGTTATGTAAATAACTAATTTACTTGATATGTATTTCAGGAAAAAAAAACCTTATTTTTAAAGAAGATATTGTTAAACCAAATGTTCTTTTTTATTTGACTACAGATAATATTCATCCAGTGAACTTTAGTTTTGGATAAGTTTTCCTCTTCCTAGCAATAAACACTAAAAGAGAAGATCTAGATGCTTCCACTTGTATGGAAAAACAATAGAAAACCTCTCAAATAGGACTTACATTATTGTTGGAGACCAGACTCTGTAAGGGTTAAGTTACTGAATCCAGTCCTCTAAAGTCGAGGTACCACCGCGGCTGAGGCAGCTGAGGACACAGCTCTCACTCTCTATTCTAGGGCAGTAACTGTAAACCTTAGAGATGTCACAGTTCTCTTCATTACTGCTGGGAACGTCGTTGCTCTAACCTCTCAAGGTCCTGCTCAGCTTCCCACCTTTAGCTAAGTTTTTCCTTTCATTTTCCTTTAAGCCCCCTGAGTTTGTCTGAAACCCAATAAATACAGGTAAATCCAGAGAAATTTTTGTCTTAGCTCCAAGAGAGTTCTGACTTTCCTGGACCCCAAAATCATATTACTTGTCTCTTTTATTTAAGCCTTCACTGTACACTCATTTTAGATCAGGGACTCAGCCAAGCTCCCAGTACATTATTACTAATTAAAATATTTGAAATAATATCTTTTCTTATCTTCTCCTTCTTCCTTCTGTAATTAAAAAGAAAGTAATGTTTCTATTGTTTGCTCATAAAAATTAGTCTAAACATTTAAATATTTAGTGTACAAAGAGATCACTGTATGTGTGCTCCTGCTGTGGCCCCTAGAACTTTTGAACTCTGCATGAATCATATGGTCCTATCAGTTTCTTTGAAGGAACTGCTAATCAAATTGTAAACAGAAAAAGAATCCTCAAATGTAAAACAAAACTAAATAGTATTTGTTAGTCAATAAAGAACTAAGTTTTAAAACCCATGTGTCTTTGAGGGAAGGCCAAGATCTCAGTTATTCTCAGACTGGGCAAGTGGCAAAGCCAATTAGGCAAAAGTGATACAGCCAGTGAAGAGGCCCTGGCCACATAGGACAATTAGAAGTGGGACTGGATTTATCTAAGCTGAGAATCCCTGGCTGGTCTAAGTGGGCCTGCCAGCAGCACAGGCTGAGACAGTTGTCCCACTGGCTGAAGAGTAAGGATTTCCTAGCACTGAGGAGATATCAGCTGAGTCCGCAAGCTCAGAAGCGACAACAGGCAGTGTAAGGTCTTTGATCACTTGGGGTCGTTCTTCTTCTTTGAACTGAAGTCAAAAGATGTGCCCAAAAGGGCAAACTTATCATCTCTTCAAAATGAAGAGTAGCTAAGAAATAAGCTCAAAGGGCTCAAGGAAGGAGCACCTCAGATCTGAGTTTATGTGACTTACATACCTGTGGCCAGGTGGGCAGAGATGAGCGCCAGAAAGAGAAGGCAATTGATGAACGTATTGGAAACACTTAAAAGTACAGAAATTGCTTCTTCTGGACCTGCCCTGTGCCCCAGATTCAGGTCCCCTCATTCCTATCACCTGTCCATTGTCCTTTGCTCCTACGACATTTACTTGGCTCAAATTCTATGGTCACTGCAAGCGAAAGAATCTTTACAACGGGAAGCTCTGGCCATAACCAGTACAACCCAGTGAGGAAATCTGGCTAAATCCAACATTTAGCTTACACAGCTGGTACCAAGTGGGGCGCACACACACCCACCACCCACGTTCTCACCCCCGCTGCCAGGTCTCAGCTAAATTCAAGTGGACACTCCATGTCGCTGCACTGTCTCTCTTGTGCATTCTCTCTGCTCTTCCATATGACCATCACCTCCTACCTCCTCAGCCTCAGCTGAAGATTTTATTTCTGATTTTCCAGGGAAAATAGGAACCAGTAGAAGAAAACCTGGTCAAGCTCCAGTCGCCAGGACTTATGACACGTACTCAGCCTTCTCTCCTGTTAGGATGATAAAATTCCCAATCCTATTTGAGGCTACTGCTCCGTGACCCCCTCACAGCTCACCTCGCTCGGCCTTCTCCCCCGACCCACCATTTCCCCCTGCAGCCGCACCACCCCCACTCACATGCTGTGGTTTCTCTGCCATGAGAACGAGAACTCCTTCGACTGCATACCCCTGGACACCCCTGCAGCGTGACCCGCCTCCTGCCTCCTTTACAGCAAACGCCTGTACGTACCGCCTCTGCCTCATTACTCCCTGCATTCCCTTCCCTGGTCAAAGCTTGACCCCCAGCAGTCCATCGGTGCTATTCTTTCAGGATCGCCCACGCCATCTGCAAAAGCAGCACTCAAATCTCCGTCCATCCAGCTGGCCCGTGGCAGCGTTTGACACAGCTGACAAGTCCCTGCTCCCCGAGATGCATTCCTGAGCTGGCTGTCAGACTGCCGCCCCCCTGCTGCCCTGCCTGTCTCCCTGCTCCCCCTCAGTCTCTGTCTGTGGTTCCGATCACTTCCCCGGAGGACTCGGGCTCAGCCCCTCCCACAAGCGTCCTTCTCCTGGGCATGGCAATTCCAAGGTCGCGGTCTTAATTGTGATAACTCCCCACTCCGCGTCTGCTGCATCTGGCTCAGCCTACACTGGCTTCTTCCTTCCAGGCTTTTAAGGCGAAAACGGGACAGGACTTATCTCTTCCTTCTTTCGTGTCCAACATCCATACTGTTGGGTCCTACTGCCTCTGCCTGCAACATGTGACTGCAGTTGCATCTCTTCTTCATCCTCTGCTGCGTTCATGTGGACCACCCACCATCATCTCCTCCTAAGTGGAACTTTCCCCGCATCCTTTGTCCCCTCGCCAGATTCTCAACGGGGCAGCCCTCATGAACCTGCTGAAACATGAGTGAGCCAGGTATGTCTGTCCTCTGCTCGAGCTCCTCGCGTCCTGCAGGGTAGAGGCAGAGTTGCCGCACAGCCTGCAGGGCCTAAAATGATCAGATGTCTTACTGTCTCCCCGGATCCCTTCCACTGTGCTTCCACTCAGCCACTCTGGTAGATGTGGTTCCTGCACACTTCAGACAGGCTCCGGCCGGAGGGTCTTTTCCTGCTGCTCCCTCAACCTAGAATGCTCTTATGCAGCTCTGCATGGCTCACTTCCTTAAGGTCTTTATTCAAATGCTGTCTACTCAGTCAGGCCTGCCTCAGACTACCTGCTTAGAAGCACACTGCCACTCATACAAGCAGTCTTCCGCCCAGCCCTTTCCTGCTTTTCTTCTAGGTAGGTCATATCCACCTGAGAGTAGTGTGACCAAGATCTGTCCAGGCAAGCCCCCTCATCTCAGGGACACAGAGACAGTGGGTCGCCCTGTTGATACACATGCTGCATGATGTGTTCGTCAGTGAGGGACTGCATATCTGACAGTGTTCTATGAGGTCACATCACCAAGTGAAAAGCAAACCATCTTAGTGTAGGTATACACTATGACAGTGGTGCAAAACCTATGGCTTGCATGCCACAGTGGGCTGTTTGGATGGTTGAAAACTCTAAAAAAGTTCGCCATCACTGCCCTCTGCTTACATTATGATACTTTTCTCAGAACATACCGTAGTGTTAAGTGACTCCTGGCTGAACTATATATTTTACTTGTTTATTGTTGCTATAGTAAAATATACCACTGCATGAGGGTAGAAATGCTTGGCTAGTTGTAGTCCCGAAGTAACAGACCACTGTATCCCCAGAGTCCTGGTGTACATATGTTCTCAATAAACGTTTACCTACAAGTGTAGAGCCACTCTTGACTATTAAGACTTAGGACCACAGAGCGCTTATTTAGTGTGTAATAAATTTTAATGCATGTTGACAAGAAATTGAATGAATGCAGTGTAAACACATGAATAAGACAGATGCAGAAATATAACCCTGGTTCACTTATCCATTGCTAAGTTCTCTGAAGAGGTGCTACTCAACTTGTTTTTGTGTTTTTGACAGAAAATAAATACATACACATAGAGTGTCACGCGTATCATCGTCACATTCTCATTTAGAGGTAGCTGCCGAGGTAGCTCCCCGAAGCAACTGTGCCCACTTTACCTACACGTGCCCAGAGGGGCCTGTCCTCCAAGCCTCAGGTTCAGGTTGCAGAGCTGCAGCCCTCACACCTGACTGTCTCCCTGAAGTTCTGTTGCCCCTCCCTCTCAGGACAAAGCTGGTTGCCAAAGTGGACTGCAGTCTCTTCACAGTTGTAATGAGTAGAGGCCTCAAACTTTTCAAAAGAAAAAGACATCTGGCCAAGTATTAAAATAACACTCAAAAGCTTTCTGAGGTCCAGTGGGATCTTTTTTCAAGAGGTACGAGCACTTCTGGAGCAGCTTGGAGAGCAGGCAAGGAGAGGAGGTGGGATCAACATGTCCCACTCCTAGGGGAGTGCAACGCTGAACGACAAAACTGAGCTGCTCTGAGGCAATTAAGGAGAACACAAAGACTCCAGCAGTGAAAAGCCCGAGAGCACAGGAGGAGAACAGGACAAAAAAAACAACTGGGAGAGCCGGGGCCCAGCAGCAGGTGTGTACACGCCTCTGTGCGCATCCATGCCTGAGTTGGTCAGTCACTCACAGTGCTGTCCTCGTTAAGAGGGGCAGAGCGGTCAGATGCCAGCCTGACATCCACAAGTGTCAGGAGCGGTCACTGGGCATCAGGGAACTTCGGTGATGGGCGAGGGATCTGCTGGCTAAGAGGGCTCCTGCCTGGTGCTCAGTCCTCGAATCCCTCACTCTGCAGTGCGGACCTAGTCTTCGCCACCACACTTTAGCTAAACGCACGGGAAATGCAGTGAGACAGATCCACTCCTCCCTGCTTATGCGTTTCCCATAGCCCATAGGAAAGGGTGCCTGTGCTAGAACCTTCTTCTTGTTCCTTCTGTCCAGCTGGGAGGTTTCCAAGCTCTGCAGCCCACTGGAATCCACTGGGGAGCTAAAGCACCAGGGAAGTGTGGGCCCCCCTCCCTGAGAGTCTGACCTCAAAGGCCTCCGCTCTGCGGCTTTGGGAAGCGCCTCAGGGACTCGAATGGCATCCAGGGTGAGCACTCCTACTCCTACTCCGGATGCGAGCTACAGATGGATCTCCCTTTGGAAGAAAGTCCTGAGGACCGCACAACTGTTTGCCCAGGCGAATGGGTGACAGGGAAGGGAGATGAGCTGAGGAGGCCTGGAAGGCAGCTTGCTGTGCCGGGGATGACCATTCAGGAGCCAAGTCCTCTAAGCCCAGATTTCCTCTACTGTGGGATATGTTGGGGGCTCTAGCCAGCTGTAAAAGTGACCAAAAGGCTGATTTTTGAAATGAGAACGCATCCAATTCATTTAAGTGTGGCTGGTCAGGGCTCAGTAGACCGGGACAAGTAACATTGAAGAGTACTTACGACCTTGTAACTAGTGCACTGGGTCTCATTCCCAGTGTGCATCAAATCATCTGGAGAGTTTGTCAAAACACCGCCGCGGGGGAGCAGTTCAGGGGGTCCTTCCGCCGGCTTTATTGTTTAGGTCAGACGGTCGGACAGTATGCATTTGTAACATGCTCTGGAGTTTGTTGCTGCTGCTGCTGGCCAGGGGAGGACTCAGAGGCAGGTGTGAGAGTGTTTCATGATAAACCTGGGGAAAGGACATTTCTGCCAGCAGCCATTTATGTGCAGTTGTGGAACTGTGGTCATCCTCAGCCCTTCCCTCAAGTCCAGCAGCAGCACACCAAACGGAACAGGAAAGCTCGAGGCAAACACTGAGGAGCTGGTAGCCTGAAGCACTTGGAAGTATAACACATTTCCCTCTTCCTGCTTCCTTCTTTTCAGCATTTGGGCAAATGCTTTGGACTTGGAGCACACCGTGGTGTTGATTAAATGATGCATATAATCAGCCTGAGAAAATTCATTCATTTTCTGGAAGTGTTTCACTTAACTCTGAGCAATGCCAGCTATCTGGATGAGCGATTTTAACAAGTCAGTAAAACACCTTGGTCTGTTTAGTTTGTGAATAAAGCTCTACCAGGAATTGTAGCTATAAAAGTTTCTAATGAGACAGTGTTGGCAGACAGCTTTGCTAAGATCCTGGAAGTATCAGCTGAAAGTCTAGTGAAATACGCCCTTTTCAAGATTCTCCATTTTCTAAATTCAGTAAAGAGGAAAACTAGTATTCCACAACTTTCGTTCTCATTGAGTGCATTTTTGGGAAACCCTAGAGGGAGTTCAATCTGATTCGTAACCCAGAAAACAGTGACACAGAAGAGAGAACCTCATTTTTTTTAACAGGCATTAATATTTCCGATTCATTCAGGCAGTGCTAGATAAGTGAGTAGCTCCCGAACGGCTTCTTTTTCTACTGTCTATGTCACAGAGGCACTCAGTAGCCTGGCGTTAGAAACACACCAGCGAATTACTAGTCACGTAGCTGTTTCTCAGATTTTGCTTTTTGTGGGTCTTATTTGTTTAAGATAACTTATAGAGAAAAGATCAAACTCTCAGATAGGATAGTGCCTCCCCTACAAGTATGTTTACTCAATAGCAATCACATGGGTGCCAATTTTGTACATGAAGAGATGCTTTAATGAATCCACAGTTTTGCAGAGCTCTTCATCTCTGTCGTTCTGCTTCAAATCAAGAGAAAGTTATTCTGAATTATCTGTAGTGCTAGATTTTTAGCTGGGAATTGCTCACTTTTATTTAAATGTAAAAAAGTAGACAAAAGATGTCAAGAAATCAAAATAAAATCTTTTTTTAAAAGGGGAAAAATCCTGGCCTTAATTTTAAAAGTATGTGTCTGCTTTATCATTGTTATTGTTTGTGATCTGGGGATTAAATCCAAAGCCTTGAGCATGTTCAGCAGTCCTCTACCAGCAAGTTATACCCCAGCCCCAATTTCTCCCATTGTTAGTATACTTACTTGCTGATAATAAGTGTTTCCTCTCCATTTATCCAGACTCTCATGAATTCTCCATATGTCCTGTTGTAGTAGTTGCAGGCACTGCCGATCCCCATCCACAGGAACCTGCCGTGGGAAATGAGGGGCCCAATTCCCAGACAGTAGCCAGGACCTAGGAGAATCAGGACATAATCAGCATCCCTGGAACACCAAAAGTACTTGTTGTTTTTATCTAAATGTTCTTTACATCTTCTGCTGTTTACCTGTGAATCAGTAACAAAGTGAGTTAAAAACAGGAGAACAAACCAAGCTTGACCTGGAACTCTTCACCCCCCGACGATGAAAAGCACTCAGCATCCGCATTACACTAGCTCCTTTTTTCTCAGTCATTTCCGGCTCGGTGAACTGGGGCGTGTGTACCCATTTCTTCCCGAGTTAAACAGTGTCGTGAGTTCTAAACAGAAGTCCTCAGGTGTGTCTGGTGACAAGTATGAAGAGCGTGACAGGTGTGAAACCAGCAGAGCTGACGGGCTGCCTGATTTCGTTTGAGTCCTTTTGGGATGAATGCCCCCCTTGATGGAATGGAGGGGTTAGAACTGGCTTGACTGTTTTAGAGTTATCCTTTCAACGGGGAGAAGCAAGGTCCTCAGAGATAACGTCCAACCTGAGAACAACACTCTCTCTCCCTCTCTCTGTCTTTCTCTCATCTGTCTCTCTCTCTCTCCCTCTCTCTGTCTCTCTTTCCTCTCTTTCTCTGTCTCTGTCTCTCTGTGTCTCTGTCTCTGTCTGTCTCTCTCCCCCCCTCCGATTAAGAAAAGAAATTTAAGGTTAAACTCACATGGCAAAATAAAGCTAAGAGCCGAGGAATGAGGCAATAAATATGCTCAAGGTCTAGACTACAGTTTGAGTGCCATGGCCTGGTTCTAGCAGTGCCAGTCACAGTCTCATCCATGCTTCTGCAGACGGTGGCAGACTTGCAAGAATGTAAATCCAAGGAACAACTGGGGAGTCTGATGTTGTTTATTTCACTAAAAAAACTTGCTAGTTTGATGTTCCTGGTGGTAGGAAAAAGCTAGATTTTGGAATGGTTTTAAGAATTGTAAGTAGCGGTTTTCCGAATCTTTAATTGCATTCTGTCTGTTGGTGAACTACTGAGAAAGGAGAAACTTGCCCGATTGTGTGAGACAGTACCGTCTAGTGAGACAGTAACCGTCTCGAATGCTTTCACTGCAGTCCTCCGAACTGTTAACCTTCCCCTCTGCAATAACTGGGTTAAAATGAACAAGACTGTTAGCTCTTTTTTCTCCCTTTGAAGAGAAGATATCTGTTACTCTCTCTAGAGCCAACCTATTGTCAAAGGGTTATTAATCTTAAGATGAATTTAATGACACTATATTATACAGGTGATTAAATTCATATTAAAATAACTTCATGAATATATTGAACATGTATTTCCTTAAAATGTCATAAGACATATCAAATTATAATCAATGGAAGTGTGTATAAGAGCAAAATACTTCATTGGAATTTATTTTGGCATAGCATATATGCTCAATAAATGTTTCTTTAATGAATTTTAAAAATTAATTATGCATGATCATATAATAAAAACGAAGCTTTAGATGCTATTCTTACTTAGCTACTTTAGGTCATATTTGTATTTTGAAAGAAAAATATTATATACATCTTTAGTTACATGAGGTCTTATGCCTACTTACTTGAGAAGAGACTGATTTAGCATTTAAGGACTTTGTATGCATTTTCTATGAGAAAGAAAAACGGGACTGAAAGGCTACATTTTTAATCAGTTGTCTAACTGGTTAATGTCATGTAGAAAATATTAACAGCCATCATGCAAATTTAAGGCATGACAGTGTGCAAAGTATGGTAATGCATCCTCCCTTCTGGTCCCAGAGACTAGGGAGGCTGGGAGGCAGGAGTAGAGCTTGAGTCCTGAGTGTCAAGGCTAGCCTGGGTAAACTAGTGACATCTATCTCTTTAAAGAAAAGCTTGGCAGGGGCTGGGGATTTAGCTCA